TCATATCAGCGACGCGTCCTGGCGTTCCAGAAACGACGTGCTGGCCATAATCGAGCTTGCGGATATCTTCGCCGACGTTTGTGCCACCGATGCAGGCGTGGCACTGCACGTTCATATAATCGCCAAGTCCCATGATGACGGACTGGATTTGAGTCGCAAGTTCACGCGTGGGCGAGAGAACGAGTGCTGGGTACCATTAGAATCGAATTTGGCAGGTTGTCAAAGGATAAATACCTTGTGTCTCGCGGACTGCTGTGTCGATAACCTGGAGGATGGAGATGGAGAATGTCGCGGTCTTTCCCGTTCCAGACTGCGCCTGAGCAATAGTGTCGCGACCTTTGCAGACCTGAACAATCGCACGCGACTGCACTGCGGAAGGCGATTCGTAGCCGTATGCGTAGATTCCTCGCAGCAGGTTCTCCTTCAGGTGCATGGCCTCGAAGGTCGGCGCAACCGTGACCTCCTTGGAGGTGGAGAACTCCATCTTCTCATCCGCGTTTCGATCGATTCCGTCTGCCATGTTGGAAATGGTGCTGCTTGTCGTTTTTGAGTGGGTGAGGCAGTTTGCGACGAGGATGGTGATGCACAAGAAAGTTTGGGAGCTGCGCTCGGCCAAGTCGCGGAGCAAGGACGCTAAAATGCATAGCTCCTTGGCGTCTAGACGCAGGCGCGACCCAAAGATTTGTTCACGAGCTGCCTCTAACAACAACATCAACGCCGCCAAAGGTCTGCTCACTACTAGCTCTCCGCTTCCGTTCCAGTACTCATCATCCACAGGCGATCGCAATGGGGCTTCTTCAGGAACAGCGCCAGCTCCACGAAGAGCTGGAGCGTCTCGAGGATGCTTGCGCCGATGCCCTTCTCGAGGACCCACCACATGTAAGTGTCGGCACTGCGTGTGTCGCGTACTTCATGCTCACTCGCAGTCAGATTCGCGATCGTTTGGCGCGCGACCATGAGATAAGACAATTCTTAGAGCAGATTGCAACCCAGTCCGGCCGGCTGCTCAAGACTTACGAAGACAAGGATGGCGCGAGGGAGGACGAGATACAGAACCTTGCTCGCGGCGATCCCATGGAGTCCTTTATGAAGGAGATCTCTGGCATCAAAGAGCTCTACCGCCGCTACCCGGACCAGCCTGTCGAGAATCTGGAGAAAGCATTCAAGAAGCGGTCGCCCGAAGACCGCGCAAAGTCGGTTGCTAAAATCGACTCCATGTTCACCGGTGAGGAGGGCTTTGGTCGATTCTTCGACCTGACAACGCTGCACGAGCAGTACCTGAACTTACCTGTTCACCAGCATGCGCGCCGCTTGACCTACCTTCAGTACCTCGATCTCTTCGATGCATTTTCGCCGCCTCAGAATAATATACGCCGCGATCAGAAGAAGTCAGAGGCATACTTCCAGTACCTCAAGGCTCTTCAAGATTATCTAGAGAGCTTCATGCAGAGGACGAAGCCGCTAGAGAACTTGGACAAGCTCTTCGCTAACTTCGACAAAGAGTTCGAAGAGCTCTGGGCGAAGGATGAGGTTCCTGGCTGGGAAAAGATCACAGCTGAGTCGGCTCCGACCAATGGCGAGGCACCGGGCGAGGGCATCTGGTGCTCGGCGTGCAAGAAAGGCTTCGCAAAAGAGACAGTATACGAGAGCCATCTGACAGGCAAGAAGCACAAGAAGGCAGTCCAGGAGAGTCAGGGCGCTTCAGATACTAAGGCCGCTACATCGACGAACGGTTCGTCATCGGACATCCAGCGATTCAAAGAGCGCGCAGTAGCCGAGCGGGAATTTCGCATCAAAAAGCTGGCCGCGGCCATGCAAACCGAACGAGGCGACACCAAGGTCAACGTTGAGCGCAAACAAGGCATGACCGATCGCGAGCGGCAGCAAGAGCTGGAACAGATGTTCTCCGAAGCTCCAGAAGGTGGTGCAAACGAGGAAGACAACGACTCGGAAGGAGAAGACAAGATATACAACCCATTGAAGCTGCCTCTTGCTTGGGATGGCAAGCCTATTCCTTTCTGGCTGTACAAGCTACATGGCCTGGGTGTCGAATTTCCCTGCGAAATCTGCGGCAACTTCGTCTACATGGGCAGACGTGCGTTCGACAAGCACTTCAACGAACCCCGCCACATTCACGGACTGAAGTGCCTCGGCATCACCAACACGACCCTCTTCCGCGAGATCACGAGCATAGCCGAAGCTGAGGCGCTCTGGAAGAAGATCCAGAAGGACAAGAAGAAGGAGAAGACACAAGCAGAGAATGTGGTCGAGATGGAAGACACCGAGGGCAATGTCATGCCCGAGAAGGTGTACAAGGACTTGGCCGCAGCTGGCATGCTCTGATTAGGCAGCGCATGCCAAGCAACGCGGTATGAAGTCTGTCAAAGGTGCACCGGTGGTTGGAGTATGATGCACCATCACGGCAGTCGACTCTTAGTCAGCTTTGGCTGCCCCGTCGGCCTGCTGACATGTGGTTGATCCATTTGGGTTCAAAGAGTATGTGCTCCCCTATCACTGTGCTGCCGGTCTTCGTCACACCGTGCACTGCTGTTCTTTTCTGTTTGCAACCTTCCCTTTATTGTATTTTCTACGCACTGTCATTATCCACCATGCATACTAATCAAACAGACTCTGTTGCATCGAATTGGCGTTTGGCGCAGCCCAAAAGTGGCATTGCATATGGATACCAGGGCATCAGTGTAAGAGTCTACATTATCATTCTATCGATTACAGATTTTGACGTTATTGATAGGTTTCTTCTTGAGAACTGTTCACTATATATTGAATGGAATCTTCGAGCCGCGTGTACGCTATAGCTGGTTCGATTGGAACGATATGAACAACATAACCATCCTGATGTGCCCTCTCACTCTGCTAAATGTATTGTGATAACAGGCGGCGATTCTGGCTGGCCGCCTGTCTTGCTCTGCTTTACTAACGAACAATGGTCAATTGGCGGCTCGACCTTACTATTACGCCCAATCTCAACAGCGACGTGGTCTGCCCACAGCTCTTTTGGTATTTGCTTCTCGATGGAAACTGTTTCCACAAGCCCGCGGTCGTCCGGAAGTTCGTGAGCCCTGCCTGGTTTGCCATCTTGGCTGGGACGCCGCCGTAAAAGCACCATTACGCCAATGAAGACAAGTGTGGCGCCTGACACCCCTGCGACCAGACTTCCTGCGATGACACCATCGCGCCGTGTATGAGAGTCCGGGGCTTGGCCTGTTGCTGAGGAAGACGATGTTGAGGAACTTGCTGCAGACACTGTGGATGGTCTGCATCCTTGGATGGAGTAGTACATCCATGACGAGCTGTAGCATGTCCCAACACGGCAAGTTGCTTGCGTATCGCTCGAGCATGTCATGCCATTAATACTAGCACCGTACAAGGTCACTAAAGAATCATCAGCCCTTGCAAAGCACTTCGACACGTAACAGCGAACCTGTACAACCCGGATCAAGCTCTGTGATCTGGAAACTCCCACCCATTACCACGTTCAATGGCTTGCATGTGGTATTGCCAAAATCATCCCTTATATCGATGGTTCGATTAGAGCGGCCGCAATTGCCATCGAGGCAGGTTCGGAGGTTAGAAAAGGCGGAGCTTAGCAGGAATAGGCTGCTGATGGCTAAGAATTGGAAACGAGTGGACGTTGCCATTGCAACTGTGAGCAGTGGATAGTGGTGGCTGCTGAGGGAGAGGATTAGTGATAATTAAGAGGTCGATATGAGGGCCCGATGTTTCGGACAGTCCTTGACCTTAATACGCCTTGACGGCAATGAACATGTACCAAGTAGTCTGGCCCATTTACACTTCCTCGCAATACGACCATTGCCGTCATAACGGAAATACATATACCCCTTAGGCCGTAAAGCCGCGATCTCAAACATCCTGACAACCTCTACTGCACCTCACATGAGAAGGATGCGTTTCAGTATTGCGCCGCACATTTCGATCATGCCGAAGGCCGGACTTGCAAGGACATCAAGCACTCATTGGATTCGCAAAGTTGAATTGTTGCTTATGAAGCTTTTTGGCCCCCAGGATTGAAGCATCGAGGCAGGTCTCGGGATTGTATATGCTGCAATATCAAGCTTCACTAAGCGAAGTCCGCCAATGCACGGATTGGAAGGGTATTGTTGCGATGTACGGTGATGCTCAGGATTTTGTTAGGTAGTGGACGAAATGAGATTGTACTGTGGTGGCCTGTTTTTGCGTGCTTGTGGTGCTCTTCGCCATTCTTCCCCTCACGTTTGGACAGACCAACCGAGTTCCATTGACAACCAGAATCACGTGGAACTAAAAATCCGGCAAGGCGCAATTTGTAAAGGCGAACGCGAAATAGTGTCCCAACACTCGGAAGACTTACTTGCGATGGTAGTGGTGCGAAAAGCGCACATGACATCATTGCTCTTTCCGTCCAGTCAGGTGTCACAAGCTTTTCCCACGAGCACAAAGAATTTCACGTACCTACACCCACCTCCGAATCAGGCCGATAAGCTGTTTGCGCTCAATCATGACTTCTGACCACCACTGAACTCACATTCCTTACGCCTGCTTTTGCGCTCTGATCGAGGTGGATCCATCTGCGCGCATCGCCGCCCGCCCCAGCCCGTCGACGATCCTACCGTCGCGCCCGGCGCCCCGACCCCACTCGCCCAAATCCTCAGCATCCGTCAAGCGAGTCAATCGTTGCCCCAACAGCGCCCGTGCAGGACTTCTTACCCATGGGAGTAAAGTAGATGCGCATCTGCGCCGGCCAAGCGAGTGTTCTCGATGCTGGACTGCCGTTTTGAGGCGCGCCAACGCAAGGCGACATGCAGCTCAGCTGCCCTCAGCTTCAGCTGGGCCAGCCACGATTCTGGATTACCACGACAGTACTTGTGAGCAACTTATGATGAGAACGAAAGGTAGGATGTGAAGAATTGGTATATATGGTGTTAAAAAGAGATGGTTCTCATACAAAAGACACAAGCTATGGCTGTCATGTGACAGCTTTACTCCCCATAGTGTAGTGGTTTAGCACGCCTGACTGTAATATCCAAAGCGTTCAGGAGACCCTCGTTCGATTCGCGGTGGGGAGAGCAGACCTGGTCTTAATTTTTGCTACTCTGGACGACCTTCTGGCCAAGGGATGGATGTTCGCCTTGCCGAGAACTGTGGCTGTACGGCGGCCAGCTGAGTGCAGGGCTGGACTCCATGCACGCGCTGCACGTTCAACTTACTTTTTGCTGGACCCAGGATCCTTTCCAAAGGGTTGAAGGGGTAGAGAGCGACTTGGTGAGGTTGTCGTGGTATATATTAACTTAAAAACAGGTGTATCTCATACAAGAAACACAAGCCATGCGCATCACATGATGCGTCAACTCCCCATGGTGTAGTGGTTTAGCACGCTTGACTGTAATATCTGAAGCTTTCAAGAGACCCTCGTTCGATTCGCGGTGGGGAGAGTACAAAGCCTGGCTATTTTTTTGGCACCTTCCATTTGGACAGTTCTTCAAGTCCAGGCCTGCCACTTGTTTACACATTCCGTTGACCTGCAGTCTTGGCTGCGTGGCTGGAGCATCTCGAGCTGAGCTGCAGATCTGTACGCCCCTTATTGGACATTGCTGCGGGCTCAGCTTCTTTTTGCATCGCCATGGACTTGTGAGTAGATCCGCGTTCGAAGATGGGTTGGGCTTTTGCCTTTTGCTATATGATGTCTTCAATTTAGAGCATCTTCATACAAAGACACAAGCCAAGCATGTCATATGACATGTACCTCCCCTTGGTGCAGTGGCAGCACATCTGACTGTAATATCAAAAGCGTTCAGAAGACCCTCGTTCGTAGGTCCACCTAAGAAGCCCCAGTTCGATTCACAGTACTGACTAGAATCCAGGATCCGCGGAGGGGAGAGCTTGCAGCTATGCCGTCTATCTTTTTGCTTGTCTAGCTACATACATTTTGCTGTTTGGTCTGGTCTCGAAGGATTGTTGCCGAGAGCTAAGACTTGCGGCTGATATGGTGTTAGCTGAGGGCAGGGCTGGACTCCTGCATTTTCTTTTTTTAGGGATACACAAGACTTACTACGAGCTGAACGCATTTCCTATGGATTCAAACGTCCTGTATGAAGATAATGTTCTTGGTATATACTTGCATTGATTTGCTGTCTCTTCAACCAAGAAACATTGCTAAGCGCACTAAGTGTGTACCTCCTCTTAGTTTAGTTGGTTATAACGCTCGACTGTAATGTGAATTGTCTTCGAGAGGCCGGTCGGTTCGAACCCACCAGAGGAGACTTCAGCTCTTATTTTTTGGTCCATTGAAGTTGACGGGGTCGCTCAGTTGCTGCTTCTTTGTGGTACATGGTACGTGCTTCGAGCGTGGACCAATTCCGCACATGGGAAACGTGGCACGGTTCAGAGACATGTTGTAGCGAACGACGCAATTCTTTTTGGATGGCCAAACATACTGGTCTCACGCTCTTGCAGTCTCCTGCACTCCGCTTTTGCTTGCAAACATCGTGCTGCATGCCGACCAGGGTCGGATGAGTTGCCATTCAATTCATGTGATCATGGCGCACCCGCTTCCACCTTCCGCTTCCAGCCTCCTCTGTTTACGGCCCGCCCCACACCAAATGGAAGAAGGCCGCGAACGCCGCGCCGCCAGTTTGACGCGCTCTTCACTCCACCAGACTGCGCCCGCAGCTTGTTGCGCAGGCTTCACGACAGGAACATTGGCTATGGGAACTCAGGAACGGAAACTTTCGCAATTGGACGGTTATCCCTTCGCTGTACATCGATCATTACGGATTCGCAACGCATGACGCAACGGCCATAGCCATCATCGCAATGTACGACTTCAACGAAGCGCGCACGCCTCTGACTTCTGACAACGTGCAATCATGGGGTCGCGCGAATTTTCCCGTGGCTTTTCGCACACTTCCAAGGCCGGCAAGGCTGAAGTGGACCACGCTCGATGAGTTCGATTTGAAGACCAACCGGGCCGTTTACAGATCACTTCATCGCTCGGCACACAAGCAGCTTCTTGTCATCGGAGGCTATGCGCCAGGCCCAGAGGTCGACGACGAACCCGCCGACGTGCTGGCGCACATGCATCACGATGAAGCGGGTGTCACGTTCTATCGCGCCATGGAGAGCGTGTACGGAACAAAGCAAGAGCTGGAACTTGTGCGATCAACATCATTAGTCGCATTCCACGAACCTTTTTGCCATGTTGGAGACGATGCCGGAGGATCCAAGGCTATTCATCGAGTTTCAGCGCTTATCGAGTATTATTTCCTGGCCGCTGGACACGTGAAAGAATTGATCAGGACCAAGGGCGATCCAACTCTTTTCACCAGAAACTTCAAAGATGCGTGCGCCTGGGTTGAGAACGAAGGCGAAAGGCCCAATGCACCGCCGTCAAGACGTGTCTCTGGAATTATCACATCGCCGCCTCTTAGTGGCGTACCCGTACGGCCAAAACGATCATCAACAATCTGTACGTACAAAGTCATACCCCATCGGGAGGAATGAAGCTAACGACAGCAAAAAGCATCACTTTCACAGTCAACGACTGCTGAAGATACACCTACACCACCTCTTTTACGTTCAGCCACAGACAGCATTAGTGTCAAAATTAAGCGCGAACGGGAAGAAGACTCATATCAACCACCGAAGAAACACCCACGTCGAACGCTTAGCGAGCAAATCGTAATCACCAAATTCCCGGATTCGGTCCTCAGTCCCAAAAGTCCAATACCAAGAAGTCCTGCGCCAGAACGCGTTAACAGAGCCCTTACCGAGCGGATTAATCATCTCAAAGAGGAAATGCGCGGGCTGAAAAGCACTAATTCGACACTGGAAGGGGAAAGAGATGATTTGAATATTCGAATGACGAAGCAAACAGAGGAACTGAACGCCGTCAGAACGGATGCTCAGCAGATGCAGCAAGACTTGGCTCTAATCTTGGGCAAGATGCGGGGTCTGGAAAACGAGATTGGTGGGCTAAAAGGAAGACTGGATAAATGTGAAAAGAAGTCGAAAGGATAACGCATCACCTTGTTCTTTGGGCTGTCATTTCTGGAGTGAGGAGGAAAGATACCCATTCGTCATCCTAGGGGCCCGGCATTGTTTTCTCGATTCCCATTTTGCATTCAGCCAGGAGGTCAAAACCGTTTTCTGGCGCATCTCATGGGCACCTACGATTCGTCTTTCCAAGCGATAGTACCATTCTCACGCCTGTCACGTTTATGTTCCTCGTGGCGCACACAGTCTCAGGTTGCAAGATTGTCACATCATTGTTGCATGTATATCTTTTGGGGCAAATATTGATCGAAGTCAGGCTGTAACGAAATATCCCGGTGCCTTTCCAGCGCCTTTAATAACGCAAGAATATACCATCCTCTCCACCAAGAATGCACGCATCCTCGCTCATGAGATTGCACTCTTCCTGTTAATCCCTTCCAACACCCCCATCGTATGTTCCCATACCTTCTGCGTCGTATCCTCCTTCCTCAGCTTCTCATAACTCACATCCTTCATCTCATCTCCTCTCTGCCCCACTCCATACGCCCCTCCCCCCAACTCCCGCTGCGTACTATACGCCACTCCACCAATTACACCACTCTCGTCTCCTGGCATCGCAACTCCCTTGGCAGGATATCGTCCCGTGGCCAACGACACCATGACACTCCCACAATCCTCTGGACTGTTCATATACCACCCTATCAACGGCTTCATCACGCGCCACAATATCCTGAACCAGAGCGGATTCACGTCGCTGTAAAACGTCGGGCCATCGACCAATCCAGGATAAATATGCACGAAACTTATCTTCCCCGCGTACTTTTCCGCCAGGGACTCGAAGAGAAACGTCTTCATAAACGCAACGTGCGTGCGCACGCTCGTTGGGTTGTAATTTTCTGGCAATGGGGTGCCAATGGGAAGGGTGGTGCTGGAGATGCGGTCTTCGAATCCGCCGGCGAAAACGGATATGACATGTGATGGTTTGGGAGTGGAGAGGAGGAGAGGGAGAAGCGTGAGGATGAAGTGGATGCGCGAGTAGTAGAGGAGGGAGAGTTGTGTGTCGAGGGATTCAGATGTTGCTACATTGAAGATTAGACTTGAATTATCTGGGAATCAGGAATGATGGGGTAGATGGAATGATCTTTGCGGAGATATGCAGCGACTTGGGGAACGTACGTTTCGAAGGTTGTAATGGCGAAAGCGCCTGGCTCATGTATAACGCATCCAACCTCGGTACTCCCCCAGCAAATGGCTCATTCTCTTCCTGTCGTATAATTTCCTTCGATATCCTCTCCACATCGCTCATGAGCGACAAATCTTCAGCCTGGATGAAGCGCCAGTCTGATCCGGGACTTGTGGCGCGACCATGTTCGAGCACTGTTTCTGCACGCGAGGTCGAGCGCCCGATTATGTAGATGCGCAGTTTGTGCCCGTGTTCGGAGAATGCGCGAGCAAAGGCGGCGGCGATGTATGAGCCAATGCCTGTTGTGCCGCCTGTGATTGCGATGACGAGTGGTGGGCCTTTGGGTAATGTTGCAATGCTTTCACGGATTGTGTTGAGGTTCGTCATGATGATGCTGGGAAGTGTAACCGAATCTGAAGAAACAGAATCACACAGATGATATCGACGAGGAGGGTATTTCTAGGGCTGGTATTTGGGATTTGTCTGTCTAGCTAGATATATATATTGTCGAACCAAGGCGGGACCATCCGCTTTATTCCACTGTGACGCCAAACGATGCCGTTGTGTCGAAACCGCAATTGGCACCCCGGAGCACGGAGCGCTGGAACGACAGTCTCGCCGAACCGACCCTCAACTCCGGTTGATTTAAGCATTGCAAGCTCAAGGGATGTGCCTGTTCCCCCGTTGTATACGCGCTAGCAACGGGAGCTAACCTGTTGTCGTATACAATGCGGGGTGACATCACCATATTTCTGTCGCGAACTGCATGTGGATCTATGCTGGGGTGTAACCGCTTTGGTGGTACCATGCGATTGGGTGTACTATCATTGCATTGGTATCAGAACACAGCGTGTGCCTTATACTCACGCCTTTGAATCCTCGTTCAACTTTCTGATCTCCTCTAGAACGGTGTCTTTTGTCCAGTCCTTCTCCAAACCTCTCAGTAGTACATCTTGCTCGCTTGTCGGCGCCATGCCTGCAGTTTCAGGCACCCTTCTGTCTAGGTTTGTTGGGAAAGGATAACCTTCTGCCACATTGCCGATGACTGCTTTGACTTCTTCACTTAGCCCCTTCGCCCTGTACATCTCGACAAGTCCATCCCATGTCAAATCAATGAGCGGGAACGTGTCGATCATCTCCATCGGTTTCCCAAATGCAGAAGAGATCTGGAGCAAATTTGCCGAGCGTTGAATGTCGACAGAAGCGTTGTTGCCCGCAGCATGGAATAGCGCGGGGTTGAAGAACAGACCATCGCCTTTTTCAAGTGCGACCGAAACATACTTCTCTAAGAAGTATTGCTGGAATTCTGGAATGCGATATGCCATGTATCCTTCTTCGAACTTTTGACTGAATGGTAGCAGTCGCGTTGGCCCGCTCTCCAGTGGCATGTCTGAATGTGCGACGGCGCCTTGGAGCGTGAGGAACTGCGAGGCGACTTGGAGGGCTTTGGGAAACTTTGCGCACGACTCGTTATCCTGGAAGCCGATGTGGTAGTCGCGATGTGAAATTTGTGCTGATGCGCCCGGCTTGACCACATTGACTTGTGCAGTCAGGCGATGGTGAGGTCCAAGCCATGAGGAAGAGATAAGAGGCAGCCATGGATTTGAGTAGTACTCCAGAAACGAATTTGGCTCCTGTAGGCAGTGTTTTGAGAAAGAGTTCCAGATGCGATCGTTGGCACCAGAGCCAGCAAAGTGGTCGCCCTTCTTGCCAGACGATATCTTTTCTTCCGCTATGATAGCCTGAAAAACATCATTGACGCGATCTATCAGGTTCGTGTTCTTGAAAAGTCCCTTGGTGACGAAGACGCCGGGACCAGAGAGCAGAATGTGGTACCACTCATCCTGGAGCGCAGATTGCTGTGCGGGGCTCAGCGCCGTAAAGTCGGGCAGCTCGTAGATCGGAACGTTGGAAGTAATGGTCTTCGCGAGTGGATAGTGAAAAGGCACAGACTCATTTGTCAATCGTTTGAACTCTGACAGAGATGGTGGAGTCGAAGCAGAAAACAAGCGGGGTGTGATGGACCCAGACTTTGAGCCATTTGTTACGGACGCAGTCTCAATAGCGGACGGCATCGTGTCAAAT